TATGTAGAAAGTTAAGTGGAAGTAAATATATCCGAATACTGTTTTATAAATTCTCTTGAGGGTAAAACTGATTCAAGCATAAATTTAGTGAAAAATTAACAATGGTCAAATGATACCAGGACCAAGTCCCAAAGCCAAGTGAAATGCTGCCACACTCGGGCTGACAGTGTTGCAGGTGGGCGTGGGCGTGGGCACAGGTGCTGCCCACGTGGCAGGCCCCCTCCGCTGGGCGGCCACTGGGCTTGGACCTGGGCTGGAGGAGGGCGAGCCTAGCTCTCCTACCCGTCACAGGAGGTGCTACAGTGGTCTCCTTGTCAACTTCAGTTCTGAGTCCAGATTACTGGGTCTGTGTGAAGTGCAATTTCAAATGGGATTTTCTCCAAAGTACTGCATTCGACAATCTGTTTCCTGAAACACTGACAAGCTTCTGAATAACCAGCATGTTCTGTTTGGTTCTGTTGCAAGATTAAGAACAACATTAAGGTCTACAGCTTAAAACTGTCAAGTAAAGAAGGCTCTTTCAAAAACATCATTTCCATCTTAGGATTTCCCATTAATTGGCTGACAGAACTTGGCACCTAAATTCCTATTATGGAAAGCAACCCAGAATTTTGTTTTAATTATAAAGCATTTTGATGAGGCACTGGGCACCACAGAGATCTCAAATATGAACAAATTTAAAAATATTTTGGTTAAATTTGTTAGACAAATTAGACGGTTTGAATTTCATTGTCTACTGTACACCCTAATCTTAACACTTCAAGTGTTCCGCATAATAAAAAGAACAGATAGAAGATTTAAGATTTTTCTTACAGAATTTCTGAATCCTTTTGTTTTGAGGCCAAAAATATTCTAGCGTATCTGTAACTGATTAGACCCTACATGTTAGTACTTCTGACAGAACAGATCTTCACATCAAACTTGATCTCACTACTGCAAGTCCCCCTAGAGCTGGAAATCACTTTCTTCTGTGCTGAAAGAACCCCAAAGCACAAACAGAAATACAGACAGAAAAGCTGACCTTACTTATTCACCTTCTTCATTATGTCTAATGAAACTTCATCACAACAGGCCTTCCAATTATTCTCTTAGATGGGAAAAAACGGAGGCTCCTGAAACATGTACGTAAGGCTCTCCTCGGGTTTCCTGACTTTCCTTGGGCACATGAAGACAAATGCCCCCCGGCAGTCCATGTTTTTGCAAATCGGATAATCAGACTGCTTGGATTTCTGTTACTGGAAGTCAGAAAATCCACTGTCCAGAGAAATTGCAGAGGCTGTTTCTTTAAGATCTAGGCTATGTTCCGCCCAGCCCCCAACTCCCTTTTTCTAACCTTCACGGTCTAATCTCCTTGATAAACGTGTTTGACTATTTTTTGATAACAGTACCACAGGGGTTAAGGCAATTGTCTAAACATTACCTTGGCCATTTTTTGTTTGTTTTGTTAAATGTGCTATGAAGTGTTTGCGCCCACAGAATGGGGGCAGAGAGAGAGAGTGAGAAAGCATCCCTGGAGGGGAAATGGCCACAACTACAATCCCTCCTCCTCCATTCTCTTTTCAGGACTTGGACTGTACAGCTGCCATGTGGGATCCAGCTGCCTGAACCACCATGCCACTGGCTGGTCCACCTTGAGTCATTTTAAATCATTTTTTCATGAACCAAGCTCACTGGAAATAGGTACACCGGAACAGTTTCACTCTTGAGGGACACCTCATTTCTTACTTTGAAAAATATTAGCTGTTGGGCCAGCCAAGTGGTGAGGTGGTTAAGGCAGCTGGATCCCACATGGCTGACTATGTGGTTTGAGTCCCTGACCTGGGGGCCTGAAAAACAGGTTGGGCATGTGTGCACCCAAAATCCCGAGAGTAGAATGGAGAAACTGTGGTGTGGCTATCTGCCCTGGGGGGTGATTTTTCACTCCCTCTTTTCCATCTCTCTCTAGCAAGTACATGTACCATATAGCAAAAACTAAAACAAACAGTTAAGAGGCAGAGGTAGAGTATCTCTTGAAATCAAATGTAAACAGAAGTTGTGCTGCGAATCCCTTTGAAGCAAATTTAAACAAGGAAGACTCTTCACGGAGCCCCACTACGTAGCTTCTTGCTGTCATGTAACTCTCCTTACAGAGTTAGGCCGAACCCTTACAGCCCGCTGCGTTCAGAGAGGTGGGCCAGTTTGCTTGTGGACTGTCACTTCCCCTCGAACGTTCTGGAGCTGCCACCTCGATTAGGTCAATGTTAAGGGGCTTCTAAGACTTCCTCTCTGGACAGGAAGGGCTCTCTCATTACCGACACAGGTTCTTGCAGATGTTTCAGGGGCTCGTCGACGACATAGATCACATACTGTGTGCCCATACCTTAAATACTAAGAGCCCGTGTGTCCCACTCTTGACATGTCTGAAAGAGCGAGTTTAAAAATGGTGAAAAGAAGTTTTATAACCTCTTTTACAGCTCACTTTCAGACCATGGGAGACGCATGTAACAGTGAGCAACTGCTCTTTAAGCTGGGAGGCTGACACGCTGATGCGTGTGATCCGAATCCGACCTGCTCGTCTGCATATGGCGCTGTAAAAATGCAGATGTTCTGGTCTGACAGCTCCAGGAAAGCCACGGAATAGTTATTTAAAGGACATTTTCATTACTGTATTTCCCAGAATTTAATTTACAAGGCCTTCTAAGCCTATTTTCCTTCTTCAGAATAGAAAAGAAAGAAACACAAGACTTACAGAGAAGTTCTGAAATTAAAAGTACTTTTCTTTCCCTTTCCATAGTTAAAAACACAGGGAATTGAGAACGTCAAGGAAGACACCAGCCACCCACGGGAGATCAGTCCTGCAGCACAAGAGCCATGATCCCTTCAGACGTGGGGCTATTGGGACGTGTGTGCACGGGGAGGCCGGCCCTTAGGACGTCACCATAAATGGGACAAGCAAGCGTGTTATTCCAACAGGAACCAAGTGCGGCAGCTGCTCTGAGCAGAACTGCTCCGGATTCTGCTGACAACGGGTGACAGAGGCTCCGTGTGGGACCGAGAAGTCTTGTGACAGGTACTGCTCCCAATCATTCCCACGGAGGAGCCTGAGCCACATCCTACTTCATGTTCTTTTAATAAAAAAATGATAGTGAAATAGTCATCATGGGGTCAGGGAAACACTGTGTGAAAGGAGAGCTCTGGAGGCCCTGGCTTCTGGGACTGGACACCTGCAAAGAACTGACTTCGATTTCTCTGAAATAAATCAATATACACTTGCAGCTAATTAATGACTTCTGTCTTCTGTTCCATCCCAGAGTTTTAAAAAATGGCCTAGCATCATAAGAGAACTGAAAGAAGATTTTATAAATAGGCCATGTCTCAATTCCTTTGAAATCTAGCCCTTTTCTTAATAAGAAATAATAAAGAAAACAGGAAATGTGTATTAGATCATTGTGTAGGTTAATCATCCCAAATGTGTTCAAAATAAAGTACTGCTTACATCTTTAATATTCGCCTTTATATAGAAGTGAACAAAATATAGGAAAATGTTTTCCCAGGGCGTGGATTACGGAGGAGACAGCAATTTCATTGTGGTTAAGCATTAAAAAGAGACTACATGAGAAACTGCACCATGTCGATTTCTTAGACAGAAAATGAAAACAGAGAGAGAAGAGAAGAGGCCTTAGAAATATGTGATTCCGTCTTCTTAATAAAACATGTAGCTACAACCACAGAGTCATTCCCTGCACGTGGGAGGGAGGAGGGAGACATCATGAAGAGAAAGCTACTGTGAGGCGCCGAGGGGACGGACGAAGGGACGGACCTGCGTCAGGCTGATGTAGCAACGCCCGGGTGTGGTGACAGCACATACATGCCTCCAGCAAGACGAGGCTCAGAGGACCCTGCCTCCCCGGTGCACTGGGATGCCAAGCAGCCAGTAGATACTGGTGGATTTGGTGGAAAAAGTGTAATAAAGGTCAGAGAATTCTATCTTTTTTTTTTTAGAAACAGGATAGGAAGGGTCACACCCCATGTGGCTTTCTAGGTGATGACTAAAGCAATCTTTGCTTTATTTTGTTATCATGGAGACAGAGGCCTAGTCTGGGAATGTTAGGGCCACACTAGGGTGGTGGCCTGGACCCACCTGGATGTCTATGAAATAAAGTCAAACCCCACCTTGAGTACAGAGAGCCTGACCCTGGGATCTTGTGATTTCTACAGAAATTTACTGATTTAATCTGGGTGGGGCACAGCTATGGGGTGAAGGAGTCACAAGTATTTTAGAGTTTTCACGAACTATATTCTTTCTATATGATTTCAACAAGAGAGCAAACAATTTCAAGAGCTTCAGACACAACAGGGAAAAGGGAATCACTTTTACTTAATCTGAGTTATAATTTTCTCATTAAAATCTATCCATATCAAGTAGGGGGCACAAAGAAATAACAATTATTTTTAAAAGTTTCGACTGTTTGGTTTAAGGATAGCTCTGCAAACACAATTTAGTTTGGAATTCAAGCTGTTTCATTTCCTACTTAATCTTGTGAATTTCCTTCTCTTATAATACTCAGGTTGGAAGGGTGCCAAATTAGACCAGGAGCAAATTTTCACCAACTTCACTTCAGTGCTTTATTTTTAGATTATATTAAAAACCTCATTAGGCTCCCTGAGGGAAGAGAGTGTTAACCACTAACAGCGGCTGGGGAAAATAAAGAAAATGGAAAGATACGCTAAATTGCTAACAAGGAAAGCTCTCTTAAAACAGCTGGTCTGAGGTCGCTGTAAGAGCGAACAGAAACTCATTACTACAAGCGGGGGAATAACCTGAGCTTGGAGCGTCTCTTACCCTAGGCTAGTGAGGGCTAGCCGGCCGCCCCAGTGGCGCATGTCCTTACTATTACTTCCAGATGGGGCTTTGGAAGGGCGGGCAGAGGGAAGGCGGAGCGCTCTGAAGTGGAGAGCCAAGAGCGTGAGCCTCCGCACAGCAGAGGTGCTTCAGAGACTGCGGACGGCAGGACTGGGAGTAAAGGGGTGCTGAATGAAACTTAGAATTTATTCATGTATTTACAGAATTTGTGACCTTTAAGTAATGGTCTCATAAATACAGACTACAACTTTACATACGCTAAGCCACAGACCCCCGTCTCTCCCCACCAAAATGCTTGTGTCAAATAACTGACTGATGGACAGATGGACACACCTCCTCGGTGCCCTCTCCTCCCTTCTCTCGACACCACTGCCGGCCAGTGCAGTCATGTGCAGGTCTGTTCATCCTGGGGCTCCTCGACCGCCACCATCTTGATCGTGAGACTTTCCTTAAAAAGGTGCCAACTGTGCTTGGTCACACACAGCACGTCAAATGCAGACCCAAGTGCACGAGGCATTTCCAATTATCGCTGCTGATTTCCTGTATGTACCCTCACCCAATCCAGTCAACGAAAGTGCTTTAGAGATGGTGGGAGGGAACTGTTTCCATGAGGCCTATAAATAACCCGTTTGGGCTTCAAATAATAATTGCCCCCCATTACGATATCCTACCACATTTTAAATGCTACAACTCCCCCTAAAAGTGGTAGTGGGAAACCAAGAACATTATAATCTCCACAAGGTATGTCTTCCCCTTAAGAACCACAAAAGTGCTAATTTTCCCTTTACAAACATTACATAAAGTCTTGATTACAAAACTACTTAGCAATTTAATCCTACCATCCGTACAATGATACGTTCCTCTTCAGCGAGGTCAAAGCTGGTGACGCAGTCCCTGTGTGCACCAGGGGTTCCTCACATGACAGAAGTCTGTAGACTGAGACACCACCACTGCAGTCTTCCAGAGAGTGCACTGGTCCATTTCTGAGAACCCTCTTTGCATGAAGACAACTCCAGACCGCCTAGGCAAAAACTGCTGGCAGGGACCCCAGCCCTCCTGCCAACTTTCAGGACCACCTACTTCATCGGCAAGTCTGAGGGGCTGAGGTGCAGTCAACAGCAGCTTCGCTTGGGCTCTGAAGGCTGTCTGCGGAGTTTGAAACCTTTGCCACCAGACGGCGGGTTGGTATCTGTGGATGGAATCCTTCGACCTATATCAAGATGAGAGGAGGGAAGGGATGAGCTTTTAATCTGGCAAATCAGGGCTTTCTTAGATACAACAATTTTTCTGATGCAATTTCATAGGTTTCCTTAAAGTAAGAACAAAGTTTAATCATCTTTTATTTTGGAATACTCTCAGGTTTTCCAGAACAGTTGCATAGGTGATAGGTTTCTGTAAGCATGGTGCCCAGTTTCCCTGAATGCTAGTGTTTTCTATCACCAAAAGACGCCTGTCAAAATGAAGAATTCAATGTCATCACATCACTTTTAACTAGACTTTTTCAGATGTCAGTAGTTTTTCCACCGACGTCCTGCCTCTGTCCCAGGATCTAAACAAGAACGACATATGGCACTTAGTTTAAAAAAAAAGAATGCAAAGAAATTAAACATTAAAAACGTTTTGAGTAGGTAATGCATACGCATTAAAACAAATTCACTTAGGACTCCACTGTGGTGGGACAAACAGGAGGGCATTGCTACACCATGGCTGGGGCCGGGGCCGGGGCCGGCCTGAGTCTGGCTTCCAGCCCGACCTGAGTCCGGCTTCCAGCCCGACCTCAGCAGTCTCTAGTGCCGGTGCATGCCTAGGTCCTAGCTAGCTGGGAGGCTGGGGCAGGGGGCTGTGATGTAGAGAGACCCTGTCAAAAACACCTCTCTCTCCCCTCCTCCTGCACATTCTCTTTTTCAAAAAAAAATGCATCAGGACATTCCTGTTCCTGGGTCTCACGGCAGAGGTCATCTCTCTGACCCACTTCCTGTGCAGCCTTCCAGAGCAGGGCTTCTCAGTTGCCCACAGGCAAACCTACATCCCTGTGCCAAATGAGGAAACCACACGTACACCCTGCTCTGCCCTTGGCTGTTCCCACTTACTATCGCCTGGGGACCATGCCACTGCAGCACGTGGAGAAATGCTTTCTTTTAAACAGCTCTAAAATGCTGCACCGTATGGCTACGCCATGATTTGCTTAGTTTGCTTCCAGTGTTTTGAGTTATTCACGACGGTGCAGGGAGTGCCTGTGTGTGTCTGAGAGTGCACATGCAGGGGTGGAGTCAGGCCACGCCATCCTACTCCCGGGTCTGTCTGACACCTGCGCCGCACTCCCAGTGCCCGTGTAGGCCAATGAGAGGACGTGCAACTGAACTATTGACAGATGCTGCCAATCGGCTCTCAGAAGAGGCTGTGCCACTTTATCCCATCGATGAGGCATGAGAATGCAGGTTTCACTTTCCTGCTCCATGAAGCATAATGCGGATTTTGAGGGAAACCTTAAATCCCTCCCCTGCCTGCTGGTAACTCCAGGCTGCTGCATGTGGCAGGCTTTCCCGACACTCTCCACTTCCTAACTCTCCTGCACCTCAGGCCCCGAGTCGCTCAGGACACCGAAGTGCGCCGTTCTGTATTTCTCTACGTGGCTACCTCCCTCATGT